GATCATATTCGAGAATACCAGTTACCAGAGGCTCCATCTGGTCTGTCGGCTTGCCTGATTTGAGGAAAATCTCCCACTTGTTAAGAGATTTCCTCGCATCATCAATGTCTCCAATGCGCACGGGTAGACCTATTTGACAATGTTATGATATGGGGGGCACCATCTTGGTCAGATGTAAGTGTCCAGTTAACACACGGATTTCCACGCCGGCTCATCAAGGCCAAGCATGGGGGTTTTACAGAGACAAATGTCACATGCACTAGCAAGGTAACAAATGCGATGCTTCGGAAATTTGCCAAGGAAGACGTCTTGTCCCTCTGTTCCCAAGATGTAATTGAGAAAACAAGCCTTACAGTCACGGAGCTGGCGTACAGCAGGTTGTCATCTATCAACATCAAACAGGCACTTGGAAGGAGTAATGTACGTCTTCAGGAAGCTATGTACCGGTGAGTGCAACTTCATCAGGGCTGGAAAATGTCTAGAAAAGAAAAATGAAATTTTTAGCGTGAAATCTCCATAGCTTTATGTTATTATGAACACTCAATTCATGTTAATCTCATTCTACCTAACGCTGTTTTCTTGTCATAAACATACATACTGTATAGTTTTCGTTCTGCACTACTAACAAAAAATGAAGATTAGCTTTCAAAATACAATCATTTGATATTATCAGTGTATTGCGTTTCTTGAATTTCATCCTACCTATGCTGAATACTATATAATTTGGACTTGACTATAATGTTATTCCATGTTTGTTATTTCATTTTGCAAAGCGCATTTCGGATGGATGGCAGCCTTCTCCATTATCTCCAGAATTTAAAAAAGTGCTAGTTACAAAAAGTCTTAATTTCTCCCTAGGTATGGTATAGATTTTCTTAAATTCAAACCTCTCGGAAAAGAATCCCTCCGGGAGCTAAGCGAGTTTGTCCAGAAAAGACGTGTAAGCCACTTGCCTTCAAGCGAAGAAGATGTTAGTGAAGGTGAAGCTGAGGCTGACGAGCAAAGCTCGCAGTTGATGTCCGATCGAATTGTCAAAGAAGTGATGGGCGATGGCCGGCCATTAGAAAATTCACAAAATGAAAAACTGCTTACCTCAAAGCTTACTTCCAAGATGACTCACTTCAAGGAATCAGCTGAATCCAAGGGGAAGGCACGGCCATCGTCTGCAGCGTCATTGCCTGTAGCTGAAGGTACAATGCCAGCTACATCAGGGGAAGCCTCTACATCAGGGGCAACGGCATCCACAGCAGCAAAAGCAGCAATTCCGGAGGATTCAAAGGCTTCTAAGGTGATTTCCTTGACTGAGGAAGAGCAGCTACTTGCAATGCTGAACAAAGCTGCCCGAATGCTTGGCATTGACAGGGATGATTGGGAGACATTGCAGAAGTTGCACTTTGAGAAAGCTGCAAGTTTTTTATCAAAAGTTGGTCCCAACTCTGCAATCTGCTCATCGCCTGCCTTCACATATAACACCGACAGAACCAGGATAAACACAGCACTGATCTCTTACTTGGACTCGCAAAATATTAAGGTCTTGTGCAGGTGCACAAGACAGTGTAGGTACACGAATCCTAATGAAAGCCAGCCAACCATCAAAGACAACATAGGTTCAGCTTGCGATATCCCAGACTGTCCGATGTGTGATTTGGTTAGTCACGTAAAGTCTCTATTTAAAACTTGTCCTCAATTCTTTTCTTTTCAAATTAGCATTGCTGCTATCCTCTGCAATCTAAGACGCTGCTCGCAAGACAAAGACGCCTGCAGCACAGCAAAACTGGAAAGATTCGTATCCGACAGCTTTAACATAGGTAGAACGAGATTCTACCAGCTTTGCAATGTTGGTGAGATAACCAGAATAGCCCCGCAGTTAAAAGATGTGAATCCTTCCAAACATAACACGTGTTTTTGGGAGGTCTTTTCAAATTTGGGAGCTGTGATAAAAAAACTCGACGATCCTCAAGGTAAACAGTTTGTGATGTTGTATTGGAAGATTCGGGTGCTTGCCGTGTGTAAACTGTTAAACTATCCGCTAGATATCCTGGAGCAGTGGCTTCTGAAGACAAAGTCTGACTCCAAAGAACTGGAAAAGATTTTCCAAGAGAAGAAGCTCTTTACTGACAGCCAAGTGGAAAGCTGGAAAGAGGAGAACATTATTTTGTAAAAACTCATTTTATTAATTTTCATATTATTAAATAATCATTTGCAAAAATGACATTTTATTAAACAGAACTAATGGTCGTCAGCATCACTTAAGCAAGGGTACATGAACCTAGGGTTTAAGAACTTTCTTGCAGAAATTTGCCTTTTCAATTCTGCAAACTTTACACTTCTGTTAAGCCAAGCAATCTGGTATAAGCTCATTTTTGTGGGACGTAACTAATTAATTAAGATGTATTTTTACCAAAAGAACCAAAAAGGTAACAGAAAATTGAATTGTTGAAATAGAACTATGTTAAATATATGTTAGATATTATGTTAAATATCAGCTGTTATTATGAAACAGTTCTTGCTATAATTTGTGTGTCAAGCAGTGGTTGATTACTACAAATTTATGCATCAAATGTGGTATTAATTTAGTGTTCCTTGATCTAGAATAGACAGATTATGTTTGAAATCATGTTAAACTGGGGTTAAAGGAAAATACCTATAGAGCATCTGTGAATGTGAAGGCTGTTTACAAGTAAATTCACTATGTGGAAAAGCTCAGAAAAGTCAAATAGGTGCTTATCGTAATCGTATCCGGGCACAATGTTAGTCGCCCCGGTATGTGCAAATCACATTGATAAAAGAATGCAACCCATAATTAAAATTAGATTGGGAATACAATATAGAAGGATGGTTATCCCACCCCTATTGTATCAAGATCATATTATGTTTGCATCTATATCTATAGAGAAAATGCAGCAATTTATGAATATAAATTAGGAACCTCAAAAACAAAATCTTGTAAACTTAATCATTGATAACAGTATAAGAAGAAAATGACTTCTAAGAACAAACATGGTAAGGACTAAAGTACCCATATTAGGAGATATTTACTTAGGAGATATAGAGAAATGCATAAACACTACAAAAGTGAATAGAAACTAATTAAAAGATAGAAAAAAATCTTACCACAATATTGGTTGATCATAAATCTAGATTAGGCACACAGCAACAGCTAGGTAGATTGAGATTCAGTCTGTGTCTACAATTTCAAACAAGTCTTTTTAGTGTGGTGAAATCATGAAATAATGAAATATGCTCAATAATTTAATGTTCCTTGAGCTAGAAAAGACAGATTATGTTTGAAATCATGTCTACCATATTTAATTTAAACTGGGGTTAAAGGAAAATACCTATAGAGCATCTGTGAATTGAACAAAGAAGGCTGTTTACAAGTAAATTCACTATGTGGAAAAGCTCAGAAAAGTCAAATAGGTGCTTATCGTAATCGTATCCGGGCACAATGTTAGTCGCCCCGGTATGTGCAAATCACATTGATAAAAGAATGCAACCCATAATTAAAATTAGATTGGGAATACAATATAGAAGGATGGTTATCCCACCCCTTTTGTATCAAGATCATATTATGTTTGCATCTATATCTATAGAGAAAATGCAGCAATTTATGAATATAAATTAGGAACCTCAAAAACAAAATCTTATAAACTTAATCATTGATAACAGTATAAGAAGAAAATGACTTCTAAGAACAAACATGGTAAGGACTAAAGTACCCATATTAGGAGATATTTACTTAGGAGATATAGAGAAATGCATAAACACTACAAAAGTGAATAGAAACTAATTAAAAGATAGAAAAAAATCTTACCACAATATTGGTTGACCATAATTCTAGATTAGGCACACAGCAACAGCTAGGTAGATTGAGATTCAGTCTGTGTCTACAATTTCAAACAAGTCTTTTTAGTGTGGTGAAATCATGAAATAATGAAATATGCTAAATAATTTAATGTTCCTTGAGCTAGAAAGGACAGATTATGTTTGAAATAATGTTAAACTGGGGTTAAAGGAAAATACCTATAGAGCATCTGTGAATGTGAAGGCTGTTTACAAGTGAATTCATTATGTGAAAAAGCTCAGAAAAGTCAAATAGGTGCTTATCGTAATCGTATCCAGGCACAATGTTAGTCGCCCCGGTATGTGCAAATCACATTGATAAAAGAATGCAACCCATAATTGAAATTAGATTGGGAATACAATATAGAAGGATGGTTATCCCACCCCTATTGTATCAAGATCATATTATGTTTGCATCTATATCTATAGAGAAAATGCAGCAATTTATGAATATAAATTAGGAACCTCAAAAACAAAATCTTATAAACTTAATCATTGATAACAGTATATGAAGAAAATGACTTCTAAGAACAAACATGGTAAGGACTAAAGTACCCATATTAGGAGATATTTACTTAGGAGATATAGAGAAATGCATAAACACTACAAAAGTGAATAGAAACAAATTAAAAAATAGAAACAAATTAAAAGATAGAAACAAATCTTACCACAATATTGGTTGACCATAATTCTAGATTAGGCACACAGCAACAGCTAGGTAGATTGAGATTCAGTCTGTGTCTACAATTTCAAACAAGTCTTTTTAGTGTGGTGAAATCATGAAATAATGAAATATGCTCAATAATTTAATGTTCCTTGAGCTAGAAAAGACAGATTATGTTTGAAATCATGTCTACCATATTTAATTTAAACTGGGGTTAAAGGAAAATACCTGTTTAATCAAATGTCATAATCAAATGTCATTTCGAGTCATCTTGAGCTCACTACACAAGTGGAAATTAGGACGACAGCTAACATTCTCAAGAGGTCCTTGAAAAAATATGAATCTCTGGCAATCATCTAACATCTCACAAGTTTCACTCACTCTGAAGTACAATTTTCTCGCTTCTGTAAGAAAATGTCTCCACTGCTGCTTCCCAACAACAAAGATGGCCTTTGACATGAAAGGGAGGTCCCTAGCTTTTCAGGAAGGGAGGTTGCTAAAGTTCTCTACCTCTAGCTGCATCTAATGAAGTGCTCAAGGTCCTGTTGATTGCCCCTCTTGTCTAATAATTGTTCGGCTTGAAATTTAATATCAAAATGCAAACCGAGGTTTTTGCTTTTCCAATAGAGAGTATGCTGAAAAGATTTTTTTATTCGATATAAAAAGTTACAAACGAGACTACCGAAACTTTACTGAATGGAAACTGCTATACTACATAACAAGAGCCTCCTAGCACAAACAACAATGTTAAAAAACGAATGGAGATTTAAAGATTTTTGTTTCTGCATTATTCGAATCTTTCGGAGGCCTGGATGTTCAAGGCCATATTGGATGACTTTTAACAAACCACAAGGCAACAATATTGCTTGTACACTGTTGAGAAGATCACTTCTATTTACATCATAAGTATGGCAGCGCAGAAAATAGTGCTTCGATTTGTTTGGCATAAAGGGTTCAAAGTATCCCTAAAATTATGTTTGAATTGATGAACATTTAGCTTACTGAGTTCGACCCGTAGCTGTGTTAGGATGGACAAGCCTTTTGGATCATAAAAACGATTGACAGTGAAACTTCCTTGAAAATATTAATAGAGCTGGATAGTCTATTTTCAGAGTCGGGCCTTTCCCATTCCGATAAGCAGTTTTGGTAGAAGCTTAATTTGAAACATAAGGTTCTTTTTTCATTAGATTAGGTAATACAACATCATGACTAAAATCGCAAATAACATGTAGGATATGGTTTTTCTGAGGCTGCTGCTGGTGGGAGAAAAGGAGGATCAACCCTTAGACATAAAGAATGTCCCAAAATCTTTTACAAAATAGCGTTATAGAAGTGACACAAATAATTTCAAGATGCTTATCTCCTACATTACTAGTACTGGGAAGTCGGGCTTTCTCAAAAAGCGTCACTTACTCGAGGTGTTTTGCTCCTTGGGATGCTGTCAAGAAGCCGCCCGACTATTAAAATTTTTCAACGCCTTGCCAGTTTCCTACCAATCGCTTCGCCTTAGTCTAGAGGGAATAATCTATTCTTTTCTTGAAGTTTGATGTTGAATGGTACGGATGTCCTATTCAAGTGAAATGTTCCATCCAACACAGGTGTTTGATTCCGGAAAGATTGATGGTGGATAGAGACATGTCTTATGGGAAAGTATGAAAAGAAAAGACTTACTTTGATTTACCGGCTCTCTTCTCTATATAACCATTCTCGGTACCTGAAAAAAATCAGTTGGCATCAGTCTTTACACGATACATTAAAGATGAAGCGATCTTCTGTAAGACGTAAGTAAGGTTTTTGCTCTAATCGGCTCGAATTATACATATATTCATCATTTTAGTCTCAGGTAACAAGGCTATATCTAATGGTCTATATTCTTGTTCTAGGTTCCAGTGGGGGTATGGTTGATGGAGAAAAATTGAAGACAGAGCAACCCGAGACTACTGTGAAAGAGCAACTTGTTGATGTTGAAGGTAAAATAATATCGTCTTCTGTCATTACTAGGACACATAGTTCCTGTGTTCTGTCAAAACTAATATTGAATGAATGAGAAACCGTAGCAAACCAGATAGATCTTTGGTATGATAAAATTAATTATCTGTATGCTTTTTCCGTCAATCTTTTGCTGTAAAAATTTAGGACATACAATTTTCCTGTCACACGTTATCCAGGCGCTGCTATTTATTAGATCAGATTATCTTCCTTTTTGAAGCATTCGTAATTATTACACTATTACTAGGCGTAGCTTAATAACTTCAAAGGGTGATTCTTTAATTCTTTGGTAATGTCTCTTAAAATGTTTCAACTAAATTGTTAAGGCCTTTAGCATCAATGTCTGTAATCGTTTATTACCAATTGACAGAGTCTACGACTTATGAAAACTGTGAATCTCCTTGAAAAGCTCACAAAGTATTGCATTGGAGTTAGACATTCTGTGACTCTGTACTTCAAGATGTCTGAGGTTATCTTTGTTTTGTAAATTCTAAACGTTAATGAATATTACCTCTAAACCGAAGGCCAAGAGAAAAGATGGTTGGCATTTGAATCAAATGGAACATTGTGGATAAGCATGGAACAAGTGAAGGCTGAGTTCACAAAAAATATACAAAGCTCGACTCTCCGCAGCAGAATGCACAGATTGAAGATAAATTGCAAGAAACCTGAGGGGATCCTGCGCTTGAAGCTCGAAGAGAAATTTGGACCACGTAAGGTGGGCATTACGTCATCCCATTAGACAGTCTTCATTTGCTGCTACAGAAGCAGAGTGTGCTTCAACTACCACAAGCAGCAGTCGCCAATGTGGAGGCGGGTACAAGTTACGAAGCAGCTTCAAGCATGCAGGATGGAGTGTCTTCATTTGAAGTATTTTTCGAAAAGCTCCAGGAATTCTACACGGATGAAATAAACCCGTTAAGACCATCAAACGGTATGACAGCAGGGACAATCGAACGCCACACAAGAAGGTTAAAGAAGTTCTTTGAACATGTAGAAGAGACATATAACAGACCCCCACAAATGGAGGATGTTACAAACATCAACTTTGTTAGGGCATATGTGGCGGAATTGAGGAGGGAGCTAAACGTGGGTACAGTTGCCAACCATATTCAAAGCCTGATAGTGGCAGCAAAATATATTCTGAAAAAAGAGGGCCTAACAAAAAGTTGGCATGAAATTGCAGAAATAACACAATTGAGGCACATGCAGGCCCAACTGCAAGTGAGTATTCCAGTTCACCTTAGCTATATATATTTTCGCTTTTCATTAGAAATTCTACAATAGGAACTTGAGTTGCATTTCATTCTATATCATAACATTAAATTCTGGCTGCCTAAATTCTACTGTCAAGAATGGTTGATGAAGCCAGCCGAAGTAGAGTC